ACAGCCGACTCGTCAATAAATGAGTACAAAACAGCATTTCCAAGCACCTGTCGCTTACTGACTGTTTGGAATTATAAATATGAGCATAGTTCGTCTATTAATATAATTCAAATTTTTTTTGCAAAAAATCTTTTTTTTTTTGTTACTCCGAGGTAGGCAGTGCGCTGCATGAGACAAAAAAGTAATATAGCCAAAACCACCGCATAGCCGCTCTTTAGTGTAGATGCATGTTGATTTTATCAGACGCTTATAAATGAGAGTGACTCCTGGTTAACATGTATTAATGGGTCTTGTTTAGTCACTATTTAGAGTGGAATTTTTCTACAATATTCACTCATCATGACAGTAAAATAGGGCATTCTAAGTCAATCTACTGCAGTAGCCTATTTCCTCTCTCAATCAGTAGAAAATGTGGGTTACACCCGGTCATGCATGGAAAAAAGTAAATAAATACCGTCATATACCGTGAAACCGGTATCATTTTGGAAAATACCGTGATATAAATTTTTGGTCATACCACCCACCACTACTCTGATCTGTAAACATCCATGTCAGTATTTCCCTTTTGAAAATAACTAATGAAAATGGATCACAAAAGTATTTAGTGTTTTCAGTTTGTACATTTTTTATGTTTCTTTTGGACCTGACGCAGAAAACTGGAAACATGGTGAAAAAAAAATTCTTGTTGGTTTTTGACTTATGCATACTATAAAAGGGATAATATATAACAATGTTAATAAGTATTATTGATATAGGACTATTAACTTTATTTATCCCACAGGGGAAACTATTAATAATGAGGGGAATAAACTGAACTATCATTGTAATCAACTGTCATCCATACATATTCATTTTAATAATTTTTATAATCATATGATTTTACATGTGGCCTGAGAAAATCATGTCTATTATTTTGGTTTGTGAGATCGGAGATCGCGCTGTGTGCACATTCAAACATTCAGGAGGACTCAAACTTGTTGTGAACCCTGCCCCGTGACTTTTATTAATAAAATAGCTTAGATACTGAATTGCTACATATTCATCAGCAAGGAGAGGGTAAAATCACTGTTTAAGTAACTAAACTCACATGTTTGTAGAGAGACGCGCTGACGCAGGTTCACACACACACTTCTCTCTCTCTCTCTCGGTCGAATAATTAATTCAAGTAGCTAAATTTTACAATTAATTCAAATAAATGTGATCTTACCACACTATTTCATCTGTCTGATCTGAAGTGGGCAGAATACTGAGCTAACGAGCCGTAGCTCTGCATCAGTCTTGCCTTCATGTCGTGCATTAAAATAGTTTAAAGCCGTGTATTCACTCTTTAGCAGCAGTTTTTACGGCAATATTTAAATGACACCCTGGTCATTCTTGGTGTACCCAAAATGGTCCCTCACTATCGACTTCAGGCATTTCTCTGGTGGAAATAAAGGATCGCTGTTTGGTTTCTCTGTCATAGTTAATCTAGTGTGTGTAGTAGCCTCCGTGTCTCTGATAAGCACAGCATTTTAAGATGGTGCACCGCTAGTGTAACTTTGTTTTCGTTTTGCGCAAGTTGCAACTGTTCCGTTCTGTGCAACAGAAACACTCGGTGTAGCGGAGCCTTTACGATTAATTAACCGTGACATTTTAAAGCTCGGTTAATTGTGAAACCAGTTAATTGCTGCATCCCTATCTGTAACACACAAAATTTGTTCTACTACTGTTCATTAGTAGCGAGTGTGTGTGTGTGTGCTTGTTTGAGTGAAGGAGAAAAGCACTTGTCGGAGGAGAAGAAAGTGGTGAGCGAGTTCTTTCAGCAGGAACAAGGCTTCTGTTGTTTCCCACATTCTTTGGGCTTGTCTGTTCATCTCTGCATTTCTCTCGTCCCTCACTCACTCACAGTGCTCCAGCAGGGACACACGTTTCCAAACTTGGCATTATATAGAGAACATGAGAGCAGAGGAGGATGCATTTTTAAAGCTGAAGTGTTTCTAAAGGGTTTCATTTTTCCAATGTTAAAATGCTGACACTTTCTACTACAGCACCTGCTGGCCTGTCAGTCCAGTAATGCCAAATTTTCACTGGCACCACCACAAAATAATTTTTTATTTTTATTTTTAGCAGTGCATAAAGAAAAAAAAAACTATATATGCACAAACACACACACACACACTATGTTCAAAAGTTTGGAGTCGGTAAGATTTTTTAACATTTAGCATTACATTTTCAGAATTCTTTGATGAATAGAAAGTTCAAAACAGCATTTGTTTAAAATCTTTTGTAGCATTATAAATGTCTTTACTGTTTTGTTCAGTGTAACACATCCTTGCTAAATAAAAGAATGAATTTCTTTCAAAAATTATTTCTTTAAAAATTAAGCTTAGCTTACTGAAAATTACATATTTATATTAAATGTTGTAAGGATGTTGTACATGAGACATATAAAAAAATTGCCTACTCAGATCTCTCTTAATACCTTCTTTTTCTGCTTTCTTTTCACTCTCCTTCTATCTCTGTCTCTCGTCCTCTCTTTCACCTCCATTTGTTTTGACTGCACTTTCCACTTCTTTCTTTTCTTAACTTGTTTGCATTGCCGTCAGCTCTTTCCTACCTCCTTTCTCACTCTCACTGTCTGTAAGCTTGGGATACTTTGTGTCTTTAACCTTGTCTTTCAGCTGAATACCTGCTCAGTCTTTTCTCAACTCTGCCTCCTCATTGTGTGTGTGTATTCATGTACATATGTGTGTGTGCCTGTGATGAGTGATAAGCCTTTACACAGCAGTGTATTGATGCCAGCGGACGTCTATGTCCGCCTGTCAGTGAGCTCTCCGACGAGGCCACAGGTTAAAGTTCATGAGGTGTGACCTCTGGAGAACCTGGTCCTTCTCGAAGTCAGCAGAGCGTTTTATTGGCTAATAATGTTCGCTGATGCCTCCTCTACCTGAAGACAACAACACACACACATTTGTCAGCATAATATTACAGACAAGTGGAAAGGGGTAGAAAATCTACGTGTTAAACTAGCTAAGTATGCTAAATTGACAATTACCTGTTGAGTGAACGAAAACACAGATGTCCCATTTCTACTGTGATTCACCAGTTTGCTTGTTTAAGCTTTTTTTGCTGATATGGCAGTTTGTTCTTCCACTCTCAGATCAAACCCATTCTATGAGCCCAGAGCCTCCAGTGCAGCCTCATCTACCGCAGACAGCAGCACCTCAGAGAAGAGCACCAAACGCCGGGCCCCTCTGCCTCCCAGTGCTGGACCCAATCCTGCTGTGGCCCCTGGAGGCCCTGCACCAAAGACTTCAGCTCCTGGAGTAGCATCCACTCCGCCTTCTCTGGCACCCTCAGCTGTCACAGCTGTGATAGGGAGAGAGTTGGCCTCGTCCTCACCTAAGGTATATCTTCCTCACCACATTATGACTCTTTCATTTCCAATAGAGTATGATGTTAGTGTGTTGTTGTGCTAAAAAACATGCTCTAGTAAGCATGAAAAAACAAATTGGGGAGAAATAGTCAGTTTTTACATCTGGTATTGGTATTAAATAAAATATAATTATCTTTTTCACCTTATCAGCCATCTTTGTTGAGTTTAACTGAGCTTGTCCTAATGCATTCTGGGATTGTGATGCAATGCAGCCTTAGATTTTGGTCAAAGGAAGGATGAAAATCTCTCCCAACCAGTGCTGGGAACCTTGTTATTTGGTGCATTACAATAATATTAGAGGTTATAATTAGACCCTAAACTATTATATTTAACTGCTATTTCTTTTCAGATGTAATAATCACATTCAAAACTGAAATGTTTGCATACAACTGAATTGCACATAAAGTAGTTAAAAAAACACACAAAGTAGTTTATAAAAAAAAAATTCTTATTATTGTTGATGTGAAAACATTTGTGCTGCTTAATATTTTTATGGAAACCATGACATTTTTTTAGGATCTTTGATGAATAGAAGGTTCAAAAGAACAACATGATTTTGACAGAAATCTTTTATAACATTATAGTCTTTACTGTCACTTTTGATGAATTTAATGTGTCTTTTCTGAATAGAAGTATCAATTATGGGTATTTCCCATTACAGGATCTTTATTTTGGTCACTCTTTTTTCCAACAGTGCCACATTTCTTGGTTTCTCCTTTCACTTCTCTTTTTGACATCCAGGACCACTCACTCCATCCCTCTCATCTTCTTTCTGTCCTCTTCCTGCACGCTTCACTCCAAACATTTGAATACAGGCATGTATTAGCTGCTCTGTAGGATCGTTATATATGCATTATGATTCTCTTCACTCAATGCTTTAGTGAGTCTAATTAACTCGCTCTGCGGTCCCTCACTGGCTGAGGGTGTGGGGAGTAGGGGGCGAAGGGAAGCCCACCAAGTGTGAATGAGAGCGAGGCGTCGGGCTGCTGCAGAGGGGCTTATACATGGCCAGATTAAATCCTCACAGGCCGAGTGTTTTTATTTATGCCTGCGAGTGTGTGCGTTATAATGTAGTCCATATTTAATTAAAGCGAGGGTTTTATCACAGCACAGCACTTGTGTGTGTGTCCATGCCTGAGAAGTCCTGCCCAACTTAAACATTTAATTACCCAAATTCAGTGGCCTGCGAGGACACACACACACACACACAGACACACACACAACACACACACACACACACACACTCACATAGACATCAGGAAAATAAGCAAATTTCCTCAGAAACAGAAAGTGGTGTCCAAGTTTCAGCTCATGGATACATGGATTTGTGCTCTAAAATGCCCAGTGAGTGTGCCGCTGGACTCCGACCAGATCAGTCCAATTAAACACAGAGTGATTGGTCCATCAGAATTATTTCAGTATTCAGTATTTGATCTGAGATGTCAGGTTTCCAGCAGAACCCTATTTATTCTGATCATGTGCTCCCTCAATCTCTATCCCTCATGCACTCGGTACAGATTATGATTCCATTCTTTCCCTGTATGCGGAGGTTGTTTCCTCTCAGTGTGGTGTAAAAGATGACCTTAGCATGAATAAAGTCAAATAGGATTAACTGGAGACACGCATGCACTATGGCTTCACATTCAGATTAAAGATATGGGGAGGCCCAAAGGCCTTGTTTATGACTTTTCTGTGTGTATTTATGTTGTTGCTAGAGGAACCCCCTTGCATGCTCGTAGACCTGAGGTGAGGCAGAAGGTGCTGGTTGAAAAACAAATGAATAGGACGCTGCGATAATCTCCGAATACACAAAAGAAATGGAAATGTTGAAATTGCCATAGTTCATGGATTAGAGCAGCCCTGAAGACACACACATTCACAGAGTCAATCTGTGGGGCGCATGGTAATGTCATCATGGTTTTGTAAACAATCTGGGATAGGTTTGAATATTGTCTAAAGGGCGCTACCTTTGGTTTATCATCATTCCGCTAGCACAGCCTGTTCTTTGAGTAGGGCCCTGATTTCCGCGATATGGAAAATTCGGACGGAATCTCAGAATCCAGTCATAAAAACAAAATTTACTGTATAACACTGAACGGAATTTGCCAAATTTTGGATGGATAAATCAAAAGTTGGTCAGTACACATAAATTTAAATGTGATATGGACTAGTGTCTTTGAATATTAAACTGCAAAAATACTATTTAAATATGAATCCTGTATGTTCTGCTCTGAGAATCACTTCATGAGCATTTTTACCATTTCTTTTGAGAAAAGCGTCTCTGACTAACCTTAGCTCCCTGAAATGAGGGAACGAGACATCGCATCAGATGCTGACACATTGGGGTAACACCTTTCTCCTAGAAACACTGAAGCCTGCAACCCTCTACATTGCGAGTAAATCACTCGCATATGCGACTACTAGCCAATGGCGATTAAATTGCCAAGGTGTTCGTAGAGGGCTGAGCCTGATTGAATAATGCTATTGCGTTGCAATAGCCAATGGCGTTCAAGCGCGAGAATGGGGGAGCTGCAACGCCCCCTATTTAATGCGTTGCTTGGCGACATTTCCTTAGAATCTTTCGTTTGAATAAGCAAGCTACGAATAACCATGTGCAGAAGTAACACGGCATGTTCGCAATGTCTCGTTCCCTCATTTCAGGGAACAGAGGTTACGTCAGTAACCGGAGACGTTCCCTGTCAATGTCACATCAGATGCTGACGCATTGGGGAATGTGTCAAATTATGCCATTTTACTGCAAAGGGTTCTCAGCATAATGGGAGCGGATAGTCCTAATATGCTTGCACATTACTATGTCATATGACAGAGCCGTGGTGGTAAGTTGCATAAGCATATATATTCAAGTAATTCTCCAGTGTTAGGCACACATAGGCGTGCGATACCGGACCTAGTTGAGCACCATTATCTCAGAGGTTCAGCATATGAATTGGTTAGGCGGTGGCAGCGCCACCTCATTATGACGTGTTTTATGCTATCAGACTAGTTAAAACATGCACCAAAGAGGGGAGGGGCCCCTTACTCAGCCGCTCTAGTGCGTTCATTGAGCAGTACAAGGGAAAGGAAGCGGTAAGCCCGGCGCTTGTAAATGTTGTAACCATAACTCGCCGATGAAAGGGGCCAGTGGCCGCTCAGTGAGTGACAAAAAGGTGCGAATGCTGACAGAGTTATAACCTGGGCTCTGAATGCTCTGAACGGTGTTGAGAGCACTTTAGGGACATAACCCTCCCTAAGTTTGAGAACAACCTTGCCTTCACTGGGACCAAAATCCATGCAGGAGTAGTTGACTGAGAGTGTGTATGTCACCCTCGCACTTCACCGAAGCGAGTGCTAGCAAAAGTGCAGTTTTAAAAGAGAGAATTTTTAATGAAATCGACTGCAGCGATTTCTCCTTATGGAATGCTGATATAGCGGCAACGTATACCATGAGCATGGAAGGTGCGCGGTCACCATCTAAGCACTCTTGCAAGAAGGAGAGAATAACTGCAGTCAGGCAATTCACAGGGTCTTCTGTCTTTTAATTGCACCAGTTCTCAAAGACCCTCCATTTATGAACATACAGGCCCCTTGTAGAAGGGGCTATCACTTCAGCAATAATATTCAGCACGCGCTGAGGGAGTGTAGCTACTGGCGAGCTTCGCTGAGCGGCCAGATGTGCAGATCCCATAATTCTGGATTAGGATGCCAGATCGAGCCTCCCGCTTGAGACAGGAGGTCCTTCCTCAATAGGACTGTCCAGGGTGGCCCCGTCAGCAGTTCTAGCAGGTCTGGGAAACAGGGCTGCGTGGGCCATTTTGGCGTGACCAGCAGCATAGTTTCCTCCTCCTCCCTGATCTTGTACAGCAGTTGATGGAGGAGTTTTACTGGCCGGAACGCATATTTAGCATATAGAAGAGAGTCGAGGCTCACACCCAGGAATGAAATACATTGCATGGGTTGGAGTTTGCTTTTTTAAAAATTGATCATAAGCCCCAAACACTGTAGGTGGTTGGTAAGCATACGCCTGTGAATGTCCAGTGCGCGCTCTCTGAATGAGCCATAAGCAGCCAGTTGTCCAGATAGTTTAGAACACGTGCTCTGTTCATACGTAGAGGGGAGAGAACGGCATTCATGCACTTTGTGAATGTGCATGGGGCTAATGACAGGCCGAAGGGGAGGAAACTGGTATGCAATTCTCTCAAATGCAAATCTCAGAAAGTGCCTGTGTCGAGAGGCTATCTGGATATGGAAGTATTCGTCTTTGAGATCCACAGAAACGAATCAGTCTCCTGGCCAAACTAGCAAGAGGATTTGTTTTAAAGTAATCATCCTGAAAGAGCACTTTGCCAGGGCTCGATTCAGTTGGCGCAAGTCCAGAATAGGGCGGAGCCCGCTGTCTTTCTTGGGAACCAGAAAATAACGACTGTAAAACCCACTCTCACGCTCTTTAGGACAAACTATTCTGCTCTCAGAAACGGGGCGTTTTGAGCGTGAACTGCAGACATCACCACGCCGTTGAAACGAGGTGGTCTGCAGGCAAACTGCAGTGTGTATCCTTTTTCTATAATACTCATAACCCACCTTGATGCCCTTGGCAGTGGTCTTCATTTTTCTGGATAGAGTGCGAGAGGTGTCATTGTGAGGTGATGTGACAGCTCGTTGGTGGGGGGCAGAGAACCGTCCGCACAGCGAGTGTGAGTGGTAATTGGAAGAGGAAAACAGCTCTTTTTGTGAGGTTGTTTTGTTTTTAATGCACAACAAACAACAGAACAATTCACAACACCCCTGCCTGTTGCAGGAAACGAGGGAAACAGGCAAAGAAATGGGACGGGCAGATTTCAATGCCGGCTCATCTCCGACACTGGGCTGTAGCTTCCTCTTCTTTCCTGGGCAGTCAGGAGCGCAGCTGAGTTTTCGGGGCTGGGATTCCTGATGGTCGAGGACTGTGCCATTTAGGAGAGGGGTCACAAGTAG